AAATAAAAAAAAACCTCAAAAAAAATCATGAATTCGAAAAAAAATTAACTAAAAAACAGAACTTACAAACATGCAAACATCAAACAATCATTATAAGCAATTGAAATACAAAATACCCAATTCAAATATAATTAGATTTAATTAAAAAAAAAAAAAGAACTTACAGTGAGATGCAGATGCAGGGTGTAGTCGTCGACTCGTCGTTGCAGGATGTACAGCGTGTAGTCACTGCTGGTCTGGACGTCTGGTGGGCGGTGGTCTGGAGGGAGTGGGTGTTGCCGACTTGCCGTGTTTGCTTGTCGGCTGAGAGAGAGAGAGAGAGAGAGAGAGAGAGAGAAGTGAGTTAGGGTTAGAGTATGAAACGGATTCTTTTGAAATTTGGGATTTTTTTTTTTTTTTTTTTTTTTTTTTTTTTTTTTATAAAAAACGCATTTTTAACGGGTTTCAGGTCCAGACCTGAAAACCCCGGGTTTGGACCTGATCCGGACCGGGACCGGAAACCTTGATTTTCAAGGACCGGGACCGGACCTGAATCTACAGGTCCGGGTCAGGTCCGGTCCCAACAGGTCCGGGTCAGGTCGGTTTTCAGGTCCGGTCCTGTTCATGTACACCCCTAGCCATATTTAGCGTAAAGATAAATGAAACGTCATTATGCGAAGGGTTTTCCAGCCTATAAGAAACCAAGCAGATGATAGTTTAAGAACGAAAACCATGTGCAATATGTCAAAAATATGTAAACAGAGGAAAGTCTTTCTACGGGTAGTTTTCAAGGCTTTACACCCTAAGTGTAATAAAATTAAGTCACTGGAAATTTGTAAATCATATGCTGAGTTCTTAGTAGTAATAGCCGAATAGGACAGGCATCAATTAATACTTTGCATTAAAAGTGAGAGATTTCTTTCTCCTTGTCATGGCAGTGCAGAATATCGTTCATAGAGACTTCGAAACCTTCATTACAACAGTTACTAGCTGTCTCAACTAGTTTAGCAGCAAAATCTGAGGAAGGGAAGCATAGATCTCTCTCTCTCTCGAACTTATGTTGTTGGAAAAGAGCTAGGAGCCAGTAACTTGTATGGGCTATTGGAAGTTCAATAAAGTAAAACGGACTTCAAACTACTCTTATGCTCATATCTCATTATCTCCTCTTTCATCTCTTTGCATGATTCTTTCACAAGTCCGTAATATTATTACGAGCTATGTATCTAAGGTCAAGTTGTCAACTAGGTCTTTTATCTTGATGTGGTGATTGATTTTTATACATGATTAGTGTTTTATGTATGCAATATATACTTAAACTGGAATGTTTAAGGTCTAATGCTTGCTTGTTTTCTGTAATTAGTCTCTGGGAAGCAGCATTGGGGATAGTACCAAATGGATAGTCAACAAACTCAAAGGTTTGGAGTGCCTTTACTGCTTTACATGCTCGGTTTTGTTATTTCTTCTGCTCTAAGCTATCAAATTTGCTTTCCAGCTTGAGGCCTTACTTTGGTTCCTGTTTCTTTTGTATGTCTTGTTTTAAAATGAATATATTGTGCTTCTTCATGTGCTACAGATATATTCCATTGCTTTCTGCCTTCTGACATTGTCTATCTCATGCTTGAACTATACCATGCTTCTTGCTTATTGAGGTGAAAACATATTTGCTGAACTGCCGTCTAATGGTCATGGGGACTCGATTTGGGGGAAGGGACGGGGGTTAGAAGGAAGGACACTAGCATCAGGGTTTAGATTATAGTTTGTTCTGCAATATGGACACCTGAACACCTAGCAAGCTATAAATTTGCTTTTCTTTCCTAGCCACCCTCCCCCCAATAAAGCAAACCTTTGTTTGCCTAAAATTTAAATGTGTCATTGCTTTCATGTTTTCTTTTTATTATATGTAGGTTTATATTGCCACATTTTTTCAATTATAATTATTAGAGTAAGAATCGATTTACTTAGAAGCACTCAAGGGTAATCTGTTTCTGCCTAGAAGTTCTGTGTGAATTTTGAGCGAGCTGATTCTTCTGTATTCCCTTATTTGTTGATTATAAGACTCCAATACCTTTAAGGCACCATTTGATTTTAAAGAGTAACGAGTTAATTTTGCAGGGAAGATGCAAAAGCCATTACCAGAGTTGCTGAAAGAATATGATTTGGCAATGGGAATCTTCCCAAAGGATGCCACCCACTATGAGTTTGATGAGAGGACAGGAAAACTTACAGTATATGTACCTCAAGTCTGTGAAGTGGGCTACAAGGACTCGTCGGTTTTGCGATTTTTTACCACCGTTACTGGGTATCTTGAAAAGGGGAAGCTTGCTGAGATAGAGGGTTTGAAGACAAAAGTAATGATCTGGGTTAAGGTGACTGCCATTACTTCTGAAGGTTCAAAGCTCCATTTTACGGCTGGGGTGAAGAAAACCCGCAGTAGGGAGGCTTATCAGGTTCTTCGGGATGGAGTAGGTGTAGATAAATTCTAAATCACATGATATATGTTGCTTGGAATCTTTATCCAATGTAATGTAACTGCGAGTACATCTAAATGTAATTTACACCTCTAGATTGATGTTTGTAACTGAAATGTGCTTATGTCTGTTCCGCATGTGCCAATGTTATGTATGGATAAAAGAGCTCTTTCTCTGCCATAATCTTGGCCAATTTTTGGCACATGATCCTTGACTAACTATTGTTGATATGTAGGTGTACTGCAGGAGAAACAGGGTGAAATTCGACCCGATGATGAATTCAGTGTGTAGATCTTAATGGCTTACTATTTTGTTATTCTCCGCTTAACCATACAGTAGTAAATAATTTACCTCAACTTATACTATGTATTTGCCTTTTTTATATGTCCATTGAGTACTTTTTCCTTTTCGGATGAGCTTAACCATCTAACTTAAGTTTGTCAATGGGCTAGAAATTCTATATTGTTTTATAAATATCAATTTTTGGTACAAAACTTATGTAGTAATAGTAAGTTGTAACTTTCACCAAAAAAAAAAAATTAAATTAAAAAAAATTGATGGGGTGAGAGAGGCTCGAACTCTCGACCTCAGGATCACTCAACAAGCTATGAGACCTACGCGCTAGCCAACTGCGCCACCACCCCTTACTGTCTACTTTCCTCGTTAAGATTAATCATGAATAAATGAATAATATATTTACCTAAAAAACAAAAAAAAAAATAAAACCTGCACCAGCCGGGAATCGAACCCGGGTCTGTACCGTGGCAGGGTACTATTCTACCACTAGACCACTGGTGCTTTAATTTATTGGTTTCGCTATTGATTAATTCTATCTGAAAGAGTCTACGAGTTCTAATTTTGATTCTTGCTTCTTAATATTTTTTTTTTCCGTTCTTAATATTATATACTTCCTCCGTTCTTTTTTACTTGACCCCCTTTGACTTTTACACTATTCAACACCTCTCGTTAGACCGTCTTTTGTGAATGATATGTATGGAAATGTGAATGATATGTAAGGAAAAATATATTCATATGATATCTTTTTTAATTCGTCTCAATAAGTACTATTGTAATATACAACTTTTATAATTTTTACTTATGAAGAATTAAAGTTATTGATCGCTAAAGTTTTGCATTAGCGAACGTGATAAAAGAAACAGGTCAAGTAAAAAAGAACAGAGGAAGTATATATATATATATATATATATATATATATATATATATATATATATATATATATATATATATATATATATATTGAAAGGTAGCATGATATATTCAATCGAATTAGCAAGTGTGTTAGTTGTTATAAAATGGATGAAGTATTATTGAAAAATAAATTACATAATCAAGTAACTTTCGTTTCGAGTAATCTAAAAAAAAGGGCTATAGAAAGGCCGATAAAAGAGAATAACGCAAAAGCAGTGATTAGCATTACACAATAAAGGTTGAGACATGAGAAATGTTTTGGTAAGCATAGTTGAAGATGCTATTACACCGGTTGTTCACATTGCTACTAAGGTGATAGAGTGAGGGATAACTCAAGTGGTTAGAGCTTCCCTCCCGATTCTAAGAGGTCCCAGGATCGATTCTCACCCCCGTCCTTGTGGCTCTCTAAACACCAAAAATAAACCTTGCTACTAATGTCTAACGCTACAGAGTACTTGTTAACAGATTTAAAATTTTAAGAGAAATGTTTCAATTGATAAGAAGAGCTTTAACAAAAATTGAATGTGCCAAACTAGTGTATAACATTGTGAAGATGGTAACACCTCACTCTTTTTCTTATTCTTTGTAGAGAAGTAAGGCTATAATCTGATTGGTAAACGGTTTAAAATTGCGAGATTGGTGATGAATTTGTATGGTAAGGAAAACCAATGTGCATTACGATGGTAATAAAACTCTGGGTGCAACACCTTTTATATACACCTGGGTGCACAAGACTCAAACCTCGCTACCCCACTCATTTTGCTTCAACCAATCAGACTCCCAGAAACAGATCTTGGTGCAAAGCTCCTCAAGGCTTAGGTTATACCAAGTGTAAAAAAAACAACATCAATGATTAATTTTAGAAGCTTTGGCCAAGCGTCGCCAGCTTTTCAAAACTAAAAATTAGGCCGTTTCAAATGATTGTTTTGAAGCTTAGTTTAGGAAGAGAAAGCAAACTCTTTGGAGTCTAATTGGTTCAGTAGCATTTAATAAGGGCAAACTTTGTCTTTGCATAACTTAATGAGGGTTGCAATTAGAGGATTTATCACTGCATATAATATCACTCTTTGTTTGTTATTTTCGAGAGTGATGCTACACATACAATGGTTGTATGTAGGCTACCACATACAATACCATTGTATGTATGCCGTCAAAAGGGAGTAAAAAAATAAAAAGGGAAAATACAGGGAAAAAGGTGGGCCCCAAAATGCAAACCAATAAAATGCTGCCAACAATGGTTGTATGTGGCACATACAACCATTGTTTGTGTAGCCTTTTCCTATTTTCGAAGAAGAGAAAGTTATAAAGTTATCATCTAGAAACACAGCTAGTACAAGAAACTCATGCCTTCAAACACAACCTCCAAAAGATTTTTATTACCCCTTGCATTATACGAAGTATTACTTAAAAAAGATAGCAAGCGATCAATCACAAGCACACTGATTGACCGTCAAAGATTCAAGTTATATTATTCCAACAGATATCAACTAGCAACGTAGGTCGAATAAAAGAATCATACAAAAATGTCAGTAAAGAGCCCTCATTTGATACACAAATTTTGACATCAAAATGATTTGATCTCGTTAGTTCCAACAGAGCATTGTTCTATATACTATGATTACTATCATCGCAAAAAAGATACCTGATAACTGATTGATTTACTTCTTTATTTCTTTGTAGGTTCAGCAACTTCTGTAGGATTTTGCTTAGGAATTGGTTGTATCCTCACGTATGGTTTTCTAGTTAAAGTTTCCCCTTTCAAAGCGGCTACATATCGATCATTTGTGTCTTCCTTCCGCTGTAGTTCTGCTAAATATTCACCCAGCCTCTCTTTATTTACTTGTCCCATCATCTGAATGACAACAAGAAGCCATACCTTCATAATTAATCTCCATTTTAACCAAAATAAAGAAAAACAATAAATTAGACATGATAAAAGAAAATTTAGGGGAAAAAAAAAAGGAAAGAAATAGAAGGGGAGATGAACTTTAGAACTCATTCGAGTGAATCATGTGTGAAAAAGGGAGGAGAAGGGAGAGAGTGTCAAATTGTAGGAGCTTATACAGCCTATGAACTACTACAGTTAACTTTTTAATTGTATAAAGATAAACTAGACAAGTTTTCTTTCTCCTCCCCATACAACATATCCACCGTCTTCTAAGTTCTAACTTTTAACAGCATTGCATCTCTGACAATTACATACTTTAGCTGATTTTAACATTTTTTTATTTTTGAAACATAGCTGATTTAACATATGCTACCCCTATACAAACTGATTTATTCCACAGGAAAAAAAAGTTCTCCTCCAATGACACTACGTGGAGAAGAAATAAATACTTCAGCTAAACTCATGGAATCATATAGAGCAAAATGAATCAAATTTTCATCATCATATAACCTAGTTATTGCTCATTTGCACGGATGTGTCCTACATTAAGACTTCTACACACCTCAACAACAATCAAAAGAGCTCCAAAAGCAATCGCTAAATTTCTCCACTATTATGGAGCGGGTCAACATTTGGACTTTGAATTCAAAAATCATGTTACGATTTGAACAACATTTTTATTTGTCCTCATCCTCTCTGCTTCATACAAATATTATCATAATAAGAATGGAATAAATAAAAAAAGGTTTTAACTTCAGTCAAACATAGTACACCTTTCCTGGGAGTATTCATCAAGATCTTTTGTAGATGCATTCCCCTATGATAGGAAAGGTAATAACTTCAGTCAAACATAGTACACCTTTCCTGGGAATTATTTCACTATGTACTCGAGTCGTACTCTTAGATGCATTCCCCTATCTGACATGCGGTTTAGAGTCAGCTTGACATATATCTTAAAAGAAGTCCTGATTTTACATGAATATCCTCCATTTAACACTTAAATCTTCTGCAATCCTATTACTTCTCTGAGAACTGTTGATTTATAACATTATCCTATTTGCACTCATTTCTAGCATAATGTGATTGCAGACTGCAATATAAGCAGGTAGGAATAGGTAAAAAACAATTCATCAGATTATAATCTCATCTGCATCATTAACAGACAGCACATTCAAAGTTCACTATAATGGACCATCTTCTATCTCAGATACTCCTTAATCTCCAACCAAATAAGATGAAACCAGAGAATGATGGGAAAAAAAAAACACCAAACATGGTTCAACTGCCCTCCTATAGAATTAAATACACAAAACTAAGAAAATCCACAACAAAGTAGTAGATGCAACAGTATATGCCAAAAAAATTGAAACTGCATTTTACCTGATATTAGCTAAAAACAGATTTGGTATGGGTTCACAATTTGGTACATAATATAATAAACTAAACCAAAAATTAACAATTTGCCTAGTATAATCGTTGGTGTTAAAGAATTGGGTAACACTTAATTGAACATTGGATAGAGCCAAAGTACTTTCCTATTTCTACAACACCAGGACATTTCAAAAAAAAGAAAATGTAATAATATCGTTGACAATAACCATAGAGTAATGTTTTATCAAAATGACATAAAAATAACCATAGTGATAAACAAATAAAGGAGCTTTGACAGATTTTAAAGCATTCAGTATTTAACTAAGCAACAACAACAATCTTTGTAATCTGCTAGCCCTTCAAGCCAATCTATCATCTAATATTGTATCCAAAGTTCTAAATTATAAGCAATTATATTTAAATCCCATGTTAAAAATCCTTATAAACTTCTTGCGGCCTTCACTCTTTAGGACATGTTCAACCAACTACCTCTCAAATTCACTCATAGTGAAAGCAGTATTTTAAATTTACAAATAGATAATTTACCTACGTACTCATTTTAACTTAAGTATCCATGTCGGATCCTCAAGGACATGGTTAAGACACTTCAATCCTCCATTTTTTACCAAAAAAAACATGAAAACTTTCACAAAATAGCCAAGTTAGACGCCCCGTATAAGACACATGTAACTAAGTTGAGTAACAGAGCTCCTTACTACAAGCTATCATATCTTAACCAAAAAAAAAAAAAAAAAAAGTCATTGTTACTGCAAGAGTTCATGTCAGATAGGGGAATGCATCTAAGAGTACGACTCGAGTACATAGTGAAATAATTCATGATTTTGGCCCAAAATAAAGTGTTAAAAGATTCCATACCCATGTCTGAGTGCCTTAGAAGAGTATTTCGGAAAAAGAAGAGCAAGTATCATAAAAGAATTTATAATAACCTTAAAACCAAACATTTGACCTTGAATCAAGCAAGAGAGTAAATGTGTGAGTGTGTGTGTGTGTGTGTGTGTGTGAAAAGAAAGAGAGAGAGAGAAAGCGAGAGAGACAAAGAGAGAGAGTTCATGATAAGGACCATTAATCCCTAAGTGTAGGTCCATTAATCTGACAATAAAGCTGTGGCTAAGTTGATCGGTGTATCCTAGCATATATAGGTGGGAAGATTGGGAACTGAGAAAGGTACTAGGTCACAGCTCTTGTACAGTTTGTTTGGAAAAAGAAATGGAACGGAAAACAAGGGGAGGGAGGGAAAGAGGAGGGAAGGGAAAGGGAAAGGAGGGACAAATGAGTTTTTCTTCCAAATCTCTCCATGGTTAGAGAGGTCAATTCCTAAGAATTTAATCTCTCCATTTCTCTCCCCTCCAAACATTCCTTCCTCATTTGTATCCCTTCATTTTCCTTCTCTTCCTTTCCCTCCATTTCTTTCAATCCAAAAACACTAAAGGATTTTACAGAAAAGCAAGTGAATTAAGAGCACAAGATTAGACTTGTCAATTGAAGAGGACAATATACATCTTAAGAGATTTTGAAACTAGTTTATGCAATGAAGAGAGCTCCGGTATCTATAAACCTAGCTCTGTACAAGAGGACTAAAATCAAGAGAATGCAGCAACCTGCCAGGAAATAAGGACAATAGATAGTGCGGACATAAAGTAGAGGTTTTTCAGAGAATGCTTCTATCTGGATCTTCAGATATCACCAAATCGAAGCAAGCACATAAGTGCACCTGAGAAGCTAGTTAGTACCCAACAATTGAAGACCTTTTAGGGTCTCAATGATTTCCATGACATTCATGATTTGTCTTTCAAATTCAATCAAGCTTGAACTTTACTTCACATACTCAGTTTCCACCTCACAAGGTATGTCGCTTGGACTTGAGTAGTCACCTCAGATAGGTATGCTCAGCTATTATGTGAAAAATTGCCATGTTTTAGATCTAAAAGGAAGTATCAGGTGTCCAAATCCATGTCAGGTATTGAGGATCCATCTAGGGTACTTAAGGTGAAACAAAGAGTCCGGTTAACATAGCTCACAACTCACAAGCCAGACTATAAAAAACACACGAATATAAATTCCCTAAACTGTTCTGATATTGCAGTTCACTAGCTGGATGCAAGTGGAAAGTCAATACTATATCTACTCGTTAATGTCCCCTCCAAAAAGAATTGCCCTCAATAGTTCTAAGTGGTCGCTAGGTTGCATATAGGTGGTTATACTTCCAACGAAGCTGCACATTTCAGGGCAGTTCACATCCTAAGAATTTCGACTTCTCGTGAGAGGTTCCCTTACCTAGGGCAGGCCAAGGTAAGCAACTTCTCCCATTCTAGGACGTACAAGTTCCAATACATCAGTCAGCCTAATAGCCATTATCTTTGACAGTCTTACTAATAGCCAATTAATCCTTGCCATGACAAGGCAATCTCTAACTAGGCAAATAATTACAAGTAAATGCAAATATTCACTGCATATTTGAAGTTTAGCTAAGAGTCCAATTCACAAAAACCAACCAGCTAACATAACAATTGAAAAAATGGCTAATCATCCATCATATAAACCCAATTGCAAAACCAATCAACAAAACTCATACAACAAATATACTCAGCATAAAAAAATTCAAACTTTCAAAAAATAAATTTCCTTTTCTGGGTTAATAACCCATATATTGCGTAATTATATTGCAAGCTATACAATTGAAGACCACCAATCATGCAACAAAATAACCCAAACTAATTTCTATAACAAAAACCCCATCAAAATATCATCATGTTCAATCAAAACTGATAACATCACATCAAAACCCATCATCAATTACACAAATAAAATGGGTATATTTCAGCAAATTAATCAGAAATTTGAAAAGAAGAACAAACCCGGGTTTCAGGACGAGAGTTGTTGCGAAGATGGGACTCAAGCTTTTCATTACGGGAGTTGGTGACTTGCATAACACCATAGCCGATAAACCCAGGTATAACTCCGCAAACCATAGCAAAAGTGAAGAAGAAGGGCTTTGAATCCCGAGTTTTTGAAACGATTCTTCTCCATGACTCGCTCTTCCACAATATGTTCATTACTTCCTGAATCTTTCTCTCTCTCTCTTTCCTCGACTCCTCAACTCTTGTACTAATTTCTTTTGGGGGAAATTTCTGGAATTTGGGCTGTGTTTTCGAATGAATGCAAAATTTTCTGCTTTAGTTTGTTGGATACTTAGATTTAAGCTTTAAAGCCCAACACTAAATCAAGGGATGAAAAAAAAAAAAAAAACATCCTACTAACGAACACCCCGGACGTTGGATAATTTGAAAAAGTATGACAAAATTACGTGTCGATCGGTGTAATTATATGTTAATTTTTAATTTAATCCTTCTACTATTAGCTAGCTTAACCAACGCCTTCGGGACTTTCGTTAGCTTTTGCCAAAAAAAATACTTCAATCTATATACAAGATGAATATACTTCGTATTAGGGTTGTTCATCGGTCCAAGTAGGGCTGTGCGTGGTGCGATTTGGTGCGGTTTGGATCTGAAACCGCACCAAACCGCAAAATTGCGGTTTGTGATTTTTTTCAAACCGCACCAAACCGCAATTCTATACAAACCGCACCATCCCGCACCGCAAAATACGGTTTGGTGCGGTGCGGTTTGCGGTTTTTCCATAATTTTTTACCTCACAAATAATGATTATTTGCTAATCTTTTGTTATGAAATTTTTACTTGGAAACTGTACAACTATGCAAATAATTCAATAAAGTAGTGCTTTACTTCAATGTTAATAGTGAACCAGTAACATGCCAAGGCAAACATGGAGCAAAATCATTAAGTAAACCCCAACCACTCCATTATAACTCCAAAGCACAAGAAACGGAGAGTAATAAGAAAGAAAAACTTTGGTTTTCTTAATAATGACCCACACAATTCAGTACATATAAATACAATCTAAGAGTCTTCTTTCCATATAAGAGTCTTTGCATTAAATTGCGGTTTACGATGTGGTTTGGTTTGAATTTTTTTTGAAACCGCACCAAACCGCAAAACCGCGGTTTGGTCAAATTTGAAAACCGCACCGTAATTTCCAAACCGCACCAAACCGCAAAATTGCGGTTTGGTGCGGTCTAGACCGTACTCTGCACAGCCCTAGGTCCAAGACCGGACCGGACCGGAAAATTTGAATTTTAAGAACCAAAAACCGGGCCGATTAAGTTAGGACCGGACCGAAAGAATCGGTCCAAAAACCGGACTAGATTGCTATGGACCGATTTAAGAATATTTTTAAAAAGAATACTAATTTTTTAATAAAGTTAAGGAAAACACAAAAAAAGTATTGGAAAAACTATATTGTAACGTCATTTTTACGTCTTTTTTGTATGTTTAGTGCAAAAAAAACTTATAAAGTTAAAGTTTACTAAGCTTATTAAGGATAATTTTAAACATTATTTAAGGTTTCACACATATTTTTAATACTACCTCCGTTTCATATTACTCGCAACAAAGGGGTATTATTTGTGAGACATAAAATATTCATTTGTTGCGAGTAATATGAAACGGAGGTAGTAAAAAAAATTGGTTCGGTCCAAAACCGGTTTTTATAGGGTTTTGGACCGGACCGTGCCGAAGACCGGATAAATGAATTTCAAGACCCGAAGACCGGACCGATTAATTCAGTCCAGGGTGGTCCGGTCCATTTTTTCGATCCGGACCGATTTATGAACACCCCTACTTCGTATATAGGAAAATAGATTCATACTCGTTTACTCACCCTGTTTTTCGTTTTTTAAGTGCTTTGATTTGATCGGCACACTACTTATCAATTAATAGAAATTATAAAAAGTTGATACTTGAAAACTATGCTTTGAAATGTTTCTAACAAGTACTCATTGATTACATACTGGCATAAGGTATAAAGGACAAACATTGGTTATAAAAAAAATTAAAAAAAAAAAAGTGCATGTGAATCGTGTCAAAGTCAAATTGGGACATTTTAATAAAAACAGAGGGAGTACTTAATATGAAGTTAAATCCCAAACTCTGTCTGAAACCTGAACCAACACAATTTGATTAACCCACACGGCTCAAAAAATCTGAAATCAAAACCAACTTCTGCCTATAATTACTTGACCTAAAATTGATCCGATATGAAGCAATCCAACCCAATCCGATAATCAATGTGTCTTATAATGACTATATCATCGAAATAGGCATATTGACACTATGACCAAGACTGACCTATTTGGATATGAACTGACCTAACAACTAAATCAACATGAGCTAGTCGATCCCGAAACAAATTGGCCCAATCCTATTGACTTGATTGCCATCGCTGGTTATTATGTTATGAAGTTTACCTTTTTAATTGATAAAGAAAATGAAAAATGTCTTTCGTAGTAAGAGAGGAGATATTGAGGGTCATTCTTTACATAGAAGTTTAACATTTATTATCGAAAAATGAATATAGATACATAAAGTGTAAATAGGATATATTGACCAAGGAGGTAGAAAAAGGGAAAAAAAATGTGAACGGGTGTATTTTATACAAAATAAAGCATGTTTAGGCCATGCTCCTTACCTAAATGTCTAGCATGTGTTGGTCTTTTTTTATATATATATAATATTATAATCTCACCCGATTTGTCTCCCTCAATTACATATAATTTACATCAAAATGTACGTAGTTTAAGATATGATATTGTTATATTCTTCTTAAATTGTAAGTTTCAAACATTTAATTTTTGTATACATAATTGAAGAAGAAATTATAATATGAAAATTTGGGTGATAAACTTTCATATTTATCATCATTTCATCAACCATATCCTATATATAAAGTGAAATCCTATATATACACTGTGTTTGGATAAAGAAGGGGGAAGGAAAAGAAGAGGAAGGGAGGGAAAGGGAGGGGAGGGAAAAATGTTGAATTATCCTTCCAAATCTCTCAATTGTTGGAGGGATCAATTTCCTACAATTTAATCACTTTATTTTTCAGAAAGTATTGCCCACTACCAGGTAGGGACTAGGAAAGTCCATACCACCGTTGAAAAAAAAAATTCGCTAAGTGTTGGAAAAAAGTTATTTCCTATTTTAATACTGTTATTTTATGTTCTAGCCTGTTAAAATAAAATTTAATACTGTTATATGTTTCTTTAATATTGTTTTTGAGGTGTTATTTTGATCTTTTCAGCAGTACTTATATATTAAAAGAATAAGTATTTGTGTTAACAATTAAGTATTATATTTAAATACAGTTATTATATAGGTGAAATCTGTTATTAAGAAAGACAATACAGTTATTCTAAATTAGAAACTGTTAAGCTTCGTGATTTGGTATCAGAGCCATAACGGTTAAAAGCTAAATTAAGTTATAAATAATTAAGTAAAACTGGAGAATACTAGGCCCTCTACTGAGTGTAAGAAACCTGATTTTAAACATTATTATCATATTCCTGAAAATACTAATAATTTTGGCCCACTCCTTAATTATATCGTAGATCAAATTGGCGAATTAAGATCGGAAGTTGATAACATACATGCTCATTGTATTAATATCGAAAATAAGATATCAATAACCACAACCGATATTAATAAAAAAAAAGTAAGCGATCTAAACGAACAGGTTAAACAGGTTCAACTTGCTTTAACAAACGAAGTTAGGCATCAACTTGGAAAAGAAGTATCACCTAATAAAGATAAAATCGTCCCGTATAAATATAAATATCCTTTTCAAAACCTAGATAAAATTAAAAAGTTTACTGTAACACTCCCTAAAAGACCGACTAGTAACCAAGAAAAGAATAAAAAAGAAACTAAACATGAGCCCTCATCTTCAGGAGAAAACACTAAATAAATTACAAGGCCTATTCGACAAAGAAGAAGACCCTAATAAGCTCAACGAAATCATGAATTTAATTTCTAAAAAGGGATTGCTTCTGATAATGAAATAGAGGAAAATAATTGTGCTACTTTAGAGGAAGAATTATATCAACAAATAGGATTAATGAAGTTAAATGATCTTGACTTTTTACCCATAAAAGTTGTCCAACAAAAGATCGAAAACAAACTAGGAAAAAGAGTAATGGATAATAATGATGTTGGAGAAGAAATTATTAATGTAAACAATGTTATCCAAAGACCTAGGTACCAAGGAGAAGGAAGTTGCACACGACCAAGATACATACCAGGGAAGGCTACCCGGTTTAGTGTCAAGGTTATGCCTACTCATATACCTAAACAAGAAGAAGTGACTCTTGAACCCATTAGTCAAACTGGTTATAAACTTAAATTAGACGGTGTAAGAGATAGACAAGATGTTTTAGACCAATGGAAGAAGAGTATGAGTAGTGTACTTAATTTAAATACTGAATGGACTTCAGAAAATTTCTTAAATTATATTGAAAATAGTCTTTACGGCTGTGTAGAAGATTGGTATGATGGAATAGATAAAGAAGGAAAGACTGCATTAAGAGCTAGTGAATCACCTACTAGAATGTTTAGGCAGTTATGTCAATATATTGAGTTAGAGTTCATTGGTCCTAGAGCCGATCCTAATGAGAAACGAATGGAATATCAAAGAAAGTTAAGTAACTTGTCCATCTGTAATATGAGATATGTTGATGATTATATTATGGAATTTGAAACATATTATTATAAAATTGGTGAAAATGAAACAAATCTTGGAATGTTCTATGACAAATTACCCAATCCTCTTTATGAAGAAATTAGTGAAAAATATCAAGAATGGAGAGAGAAATTTTTAGCTAGGGATGCATAGGTAATAGAATTGCTTTCCTTAGAAAGTGGATTGAAAAGAAGTGTAGAGAGGTTGCAGGAACTCAACAAATGAAGAGACAATTTCTCACTTGTTGGGATTTCCCAAATAACTATGGACGCGAAAGAAAAAACTATAATAAAATAAAGAGCTATAAGAAAAATAAATTTGACCGATCAAGAGGAGAAACCTATAAGATGAAGTATTATAAACATAAATATAGAAAGCCAAGTAGGTTTTTCAGAAAGGCAACATATTGTCCTGAGAAAAAGAAAACATGCAAGTGTTGGTCTTGTGGAGAACTAGGACATTATGCTAATGAATGCATGAAAGCTAATCATAAACTAATGGAAGCCTTAGGAAGTTGGGATTACATAGAAATACCAGAAGATGAGGCTTTAGAATTGGCTTTAAATAACAATAAAGGAATAGTAGAGATCATAGAAGAGGAAAATGAGTATAATGAAGAA